CACACTCTTCGATAGAAAACAGTCCACACTCAAAATGCTTGATCAATATTCATCTCATTTCAGTATAAAATATTCTTATTCTTAAGACATAATAACCAAATAAAATCATATAAAATACGATGAAAAAGGTAAAATAAATTTCAATAAAACAAACCTTTTAAAAATAATACTGGAGGATATAACAACTTATCTCGAATTATTAATCAATTATTCATTCGACGCTGCCTCTTGAATTATTTAAAACTTTCCTACTACCTTCTTTGTTGGAATTGAAAAGATCTACAAATCGTAGCCCATATTGCTAGAATCGAATCTGACATGAAATAGAGTTCCAAAATTCTCTCAATTCCTCTTCCAATTCACATTCTTAATTATAAAGTTAGATCTAAGAACAAAACCATCACATAATTGGAAAACTTACCCTAAAATTTCCTCAATTTGACTAATCCAACAATCTATCGGACGGAAACCCCTTTCTTATGTTTCACAAATGGCGACAGCACCTTCAGAAGTGAGCGGCAGCATTCCAGCCTTTCCGCCAACCCCTAGTCCGTTTTCTATTTAGGTTTTAGTAAAAAAAAATGTTATAATATTTGGTTAGTCCTTTCACTCTTGCTTCCTTTATAGTTAAACCTCTTAATTCCTTCTCCTTACATTTAAATCCTTTAAGGGCTTAAATAAAATTATTTAAAAGTAATAAAATAAAATAAAATAAATGCCGGATATTACACTTTATAATAAGACAATCTCTTTATTTTTTTTTTTATCAAACTATTGATTTGAAGATATAAAAATAGTATAATTTTTTTTGGAAGTAAAAATAGTATAATTTTACTATTACTCCTATTTTAGTCTAAAATATCATATAATATAACACTTAAGTTTATTATCTTACATAGAGTTCTATATATATATTTTTTCACAATAGCCTCATCCTTCGAAGTTGTATTGTTCCCTGGTAAGCTGGATTCAAATTAAACTGTTAGGTTGCACAAAAGATTACTTGAATTCCCAAAACTACTTTCTTTCCAAAATTGGCCAAAATATGCAAATTATCAAAATTGTTATGTTGATATAAATTACCATTTTAAAAAAATAATTACGTAATTTGTCATCCGAAATTTCTATTTTCAAAAAATAAATCTAAATTTAACAATCCTATTAAAGTCTATTAAATTATTACTTTTGAAATCTAACAGAAAATTACCAATAAATATTAAATTTGAATTAATTTTTTCAAAATAAAAATTATAAAATGATAAATTACATCAACAATATTTTTAAATAATAATTTACTTCAACATTATAATTTTGAACGGAATTTGCACCTTTTACCTTTCAAATTCACGTGTGACTTCAGACATGTGTTATAGTGGTCAGTTGTTGTGGGCTGAGCATACATATTTAAGCTATTGCAGCAGGTCAGTATGGCTTTAAGCACAATATATTTGTTTCTGTTGTTTAATCTTCCCATTTTCCTGTAAGGATTTGTTCTTTAAAATTGAGAGGTCTAAATGCCTTTGAAATAAACCGGTGCCTATTGGCTTGTTTCATTGAGATGGGTCAAGAATTTGTGAAAGAGGAAGAAATGGACCAGACCAGTTTTCGGTTCTTTAAACA